TTGAAATTTGGTTATGATCAAATTTTGAGGGACGTTTCTTCAAAAGAAAATTTTGGAAAACACGGCTTATTCCGATTTTTGACGTTTTAATGACGCTTTAAAGCGTCACCGGTCCCGAAAGGGTTAATATTATACTGCCGTTAACTGTCACGATATGGAGATAGTAGCTGCCTGTTGTCATACAGTTTTTTTAGCCCGTTGAAAGAAAGGCCATTTTTAGACATTAAAACGTTCCAATTTATAATGTACAAAAATGGCCGAAAAACAGTATGAATTGTCTGAAAAATGGCATTTAATGCTAGTGCGCTGAGAACGAGTGTGATAGATAAATAAACGTACTCTATGTGAAGAATAAGAAAAAATAGAAAATTTTCTACTATCTTCACATAGACACAATTGATCAGTAATTATTCGATGTGTCGGCACAGAAGCTGATAAATAGGAAAAAAATGAACAAACAATTCAATTTACATCTCCTATTCGCATTTTGTATCCAGCTATATTTGTATATCATATGTATCAACATGAACGCACAAAACAAAATCGTTAAAAATGTTCCCTACACGAACAATAACCATCTTTGAAGTGATAAATACGATTCTTATCACGAACAATTATTTCACAGTGTCTGATTTTTGATATGCGTCTTGTGACATCATGACAATCCCCACATATGCGTAAATTCTCTGTAATTTGGATCATTTTTGGAGACGTTGGAGAAGAAATGAAATTAAAAGCTAACGCTAGCCTCTCCGAATGACCACATAACACAGATTCAATACTTTCTCCAGTTTCTGCAGCACGTGTCACCCCTAAATAAAGTAATAATTGCTTCTATTCTTGTAAGCACTGGACATAAAATAACGGTGCATCAGCTCTAACAAGTTATTAAGTAATTAACTTACAACGTTTATCGCATTCGTATCCATCTTGTTTGAGTTCTTTGGTCATCTTGACCAATTCTTCATAAATTTTATTTGTTAGTGGATGACGTCGATCATGTGCTTTAAACTCAAAAATTTGACCATTAACTACTGTTAAACTAACACCCACTGTTTTTTTCACCCCTGCAACCAGTTGTTGTTCTCTTATTTTTGTTGCTTCTTCATAATTACCATGTGCAGAATATGTATTCGACAATAAAATCGAAGCAGCTAGCAAAGTATTATTATCTGCATTAAGTATCGAACATAGCTTATTATAAATTTCTTTTGCTTTTAGATTATTTTTATTATTTCTTGCGCCTGATAATAATGCCATATACATTGGTAAATACGATTTATTTCCTTGTTGCTGTTCATATTCGTCAATGAGTAGTTGAGCTTTATCAAATAGGTAAACACGTGCATATGTATCAATCTAGAACAACACATACTCTACACAGAACATCCAGTACGTCCATTGAATCTAGTGGCAGTATTTGATTTTCTCAACACAGTCACAAACCTAGTAAAAAGTCAATCATATCAAAAGTAGAGTTTCAAACTACTTTTACTTCTTTTCATCTAACCATAAGAAGCTCATAACAGTCTAAATTGACCAAAATGGAATGAAAAATGCAGGAGATATTATATGGTAAAAATTAAATAACTTTTTAGAGCAAGTCAATCTCTTCTCTGAAATAGTAAAACTCGCAATTCTCCATACACGTTCGTTCAGAAAAGGACGAAGAAAAAGTTTACGATGATCCAATTGTCTGAAATAGAAGTAGAATAATCTCTCAAAAATGATAATAGTAACAGTTTGGAGAAAATAATACATACCATTGCTGTATACACTTTTTCATCTTTATTTTCAATAGATTGAAAAATTGATTTCGCCTGGCCAACTAAGCCAGAATGACTACATGCATTAAGAACACAAACATATGTTGGTTGATTAGGTATGATTTTTGCTTCATTTTTCATTTTATAAAATAAACTCACAGCTTCAAGGCCATAACCATTTACACCATATCCATTTATCATTGCACAATACGTAATTATATTACGTTCGGATGTCGAGTTGAAAATATTTTCGGCTGTTTTAACATCACCACATTTAGAATAAGCATCGATTAAGGAGGTTTGTAACATTAAGTTATGATGAACATATTGCTTCGGTATTTTTTCATGAATATTTTCAAGTAATTCCTTAAAGCCGACTTGAGCACATGCATTAATGACTAAAATGTCATTAACAATGGATTGCTGTTTCATGTTTTTATATATTTCGATTGATCGATGTGGTAATCCATTCAAATTATAACATTTCATTAATGCACCATATGTTGTTACATCTCGATTATTCATATCATTAAAAATCTTTTCAGCCGTTTTTACATCACCACTCTTGCCATATAGATCTATCAGTGATGTTCGTAGTATTATATCATCAGATAACTGAATTTTTTCATCTTGTAACAATTGTTTGTAATAATGCTTGCCTTTCTCGAAACTTTCACTATTACCAATCTGGATACATGCATTAATAACTAAATTGTATGTAACGGCACTAAACTTTAATTGCTGTTGTTCAATTACTTTTGCTAATTCAATTGCTTTATGTGCCATTTTATTAACTGTATAGCCTAGATAGAAAGAACAAATTTTTTAAAGCTCATAAAGCAGGATGTACATTTCAAAGAACTTGATCTTTAGCTTAAAAATGTTCGTCAGTAAAAGTAGAGAATCTTCACTATTACGCAGAATTAGTGGAACGACATATTTTTTTTTGTTGAGGTCAAAATACACATGACCTCAATCTGAAGGTACGAACCTTTTAACATTGAATTAAATGTAATAATATTTCGCTGTTTCGTTTGTTGAAAAATCAGCTCAGCATTTCTAACATCATTACATCTCGCGTACATATTTATCAAAGCATTCTGTAATTGAATTGCATTTTTTATTGATTCATTTTTACTGTTAACCATCCTACGATGAATCTGTTTTCCTCGTTGTAAATTTTTCATATTTGTACATGCACCAATGGCTAGAAGATAAATGACTTCGTTCATGTTTACTTCATTTTTTAAAATCATTTCATCGAATAATTTCAGTGTTTTTTCATTTTGACCATTTCTATTGAAATGTTTCATCATCAGACCGTACTTTTTAATATTAAAGTTATCTTTTGACATAATTGATTTTAGGTGTTGTTGTGTTGAATTCTGACAACAAAAGGTCCTTGTACAAGGCTCAGATAACGATATAATTGTTCTTCTTAAAAGATTCTGCCACATCTTCAACCTACAAAAAAAAAAGAAAAATTCGGACCATTGACTAGATAATGTTACGTATTGTGCTACAGTCAAATTTAGAAATCGTAAGTGATCAACACAGTCTTGGAAATTATATTTGTGTCCTAGAACTACCAGAAAATCAATTTTATGAGTTTTCAGAGAGCTGTCCCGAAACCTGTGTTTTTCTCTATGTGAAACGATTTAAAGCGAATAGTTATACCCTGCAAAAGAACTTTCTGTGCGAGAACAAGGTCACCAATACAACCCATATCGACTAAGTCGCCTAACTTTTGCCGATTAATCGGCGATTTTTTTGGCTTGTTATTTTGGAAACTCAGCAGAAAAATCGTGATTAATCAACATTTTGAGTCAAAACCGCGATTAATCGGCAAAAGTTAGGCGACTTAGTCGACATGGGAAATCTCCAGTCTCTAAAAGCTGCTAAATTAGAACTATAAAGATAATGTTTGGGAATAAAAGTGATAAAATGGATAAGGTCAATAAAAAAGCCACTGCATTGCTGTTATTTCGCCTATCTTTTGATCAGAAAATGTATTCCACACAACGCATTTTTTAAATTTATTTGTTATTTTGTTTATTTTAATTTGGCTATTCACTTCTGAGAGAATCAAGATTTTATTGCTAGAATCAGTGTTTCTAATAGCAAATTGTACTTACAATATTAAAACTGAATTTGCTTTTTGATTCACAATTTGCGAACAAAACTGTTTTTTACAACTTTTATACTCTTACCTTTAACCCCACTGTACAACTACAATCTCCGTAAAAATCTCGTTAAACACTGGCTGAAATAGAGGTTATACAAGCTGGATAATCGTCAGTGCCTCTACAGACTGACCACACCTCTTCGTGACGAATGCTTCGTTATTCCCTTGACTTTAGTCTAGGTATTACCATATACTTCAGCCACTAAAGTATATTGTAAGGCCACGTTCACACTACAAATTTTTCAGAGTTAACTCCGAGTTAACTCGAAGTTAACTTCGAGAGCGTTCACACCTAAATCTTTAACACACCAATAAGATTTTGATATTTCCCCTA